AACAGGATATCCTACAATCAAAGTAGTCACATAAGATCACTCACACATGATGCATACATATTTACAATATACAAATATAAAATATGATGCCACAAACCATGGGAACGGGAGAACCCCCTCGGTACAGCATTAACCATCCGCCTTTTGTACAAATGAATCGCTCGCATTAAACGTGCCCTTTTTGTCCGAAGGTTGGAGATACATGAACTATAATCTGTGGTAACAAAGTTAATTATGCATGAACTAAATCCATTAGTACGACGTGGAATCCTGCTCCGCGATATATACAACGCAATGCACATATGGACTATGGTATGCATAATAAAAGCGTTTAAAAGATGCTAAGCTTACCATGTGGAATATATTGAACAGTACGTCGCAAGCGCGCGTTCAAGATCTCCCGTCGTCGTTTTCGATAGAATTTAGCTATCAAGCGATCAATATGCTCAACTTGTGATTGAAGGGTGAGTATTTCTGCAATTGAAATATACAAATAAAATTATTCTGCTTTTGTGCCAAAGTAAACTTTAATTAAATGTACCAAAAAATAAATCGCGGAACTACGTTGCTTAAGACGATCCCTTTCAGCAGCGGTTTGTTTATTGGAAGGAGGTTTCGGCGGGTTGAATATAGCTCGCATGAACCCTGCAAAATACGACAGAATTAAGTCAGCAAGTATATGTGGTGTCCATTTTGAATACGTACAATACCAGCGGAACATGAAAAAAACCAAAGAAATCAACTTACATTTGCCCTTTGAATTGCGACGGTTGGGAGCACTGGTTTGCACTGAAGAGGTTCCACCAGTTTGTTGATTTCCGGACATTATCTTGATTGCAATCACACTTAATCATGAACCAGCAAGCGCTAATTGATCAAAAATAAAGGTTTACTTAGGCCACCACGACAGGCTGTAGAAGCTCTCTCCTCCCACGCATCTCCAATCCCTCCCCTCTTGACACACACCCTTCACACTTACAGCTGGGGAGGAGTTGGGGAATTCAATTGGAGGAGTAGCAACTCCCTCCGCCCACGCGTCCCTCACAATTGCATATGTAGTATTGAAGTGCAGGGCTTGAGACCGAAAGCGATATGGAGATGTAGTATTGAACTGCAGAGCTTGAGACCGAAAGCGATATGGAGAAAGAAGTAAACACGGCATGGACTGCCACAACAGCTGACTATGGGTTCCGAGAGATTTCGATGGAATCATTTCACCAGCAGTCTTTGGGCCTACTACGTCAGGGGGGAATAGTTTGGGCCGGATACTTCAGGGGGCAACAGCCCGGCCCGACTATATAATAAACTGCCCAGGTCCACCCGCAGAAAGTGTTGGAGGTGAAACGCACAGCTTTATTTAAGTGTGAAATGCCTATAGTGCCCTTCCGACAAACCCTCTGCGGGCTGGAAATTTGAATCCCTGCAAACTAAACACTTGTTTTGGCTTCATATATCTTATAGAATAGTCTCACTCACCACGTCCCGCAAAACCCATTTAGACAAGTACAATTTAACTGTGACAACAACCCTTTCATCAACATCTTCCAATTGGTCATCAATCAAAGATCATTTTAACTTGTAGACCAAGTAACCCTTCTGAACAACATTTTTGTCTCTTAACGCACAAGTCAACAACCAACCACTCTGCAAAGTCTTGGTCAATCCCCGAGCTCGGTCGCACTTGATTAATTACGTACGGACGGGCAACCACTCCAGTATTTAAGCTAGCTAGAGAGATCAACAATTGTTATGAAGATTCAAAAAAAGGAAACAAATTTGATCTGATCATGACTACTGCTGCAGTTATGAAGATCAGCCAGAGGCAGAGTACTCTGTTCCGTCGTCTGCTGCTCATAAGCTTGATCATGGTGCTTATTATCGGAGCTCAACCTGCCTTTGCCCGTCGAGCACTTCTCACGTCTGGTCAGTTTGATCCAGTGGCGGAGCGAGAGCACAGGGACTGGGGTCCCAGGACCCCACTTGGCCAAAAAATGGATGCCAAATACCGCTTGTATATGTCTCTCCAAATGGGGTTATAAATATAGGACCCCAATGCTTTTACCTTAGAATATTCTCCACCTGCCACCAGTAACTATTATATAATTGTAAAGCATTTTCTTAATATTAAAACTAGTTATAATAATCTATGTTTTCCAATCCCAATGTGAAAAGTAGTATCTCTCTCCATGTTCTCCAAAGAAAATACAGAACACAACTTTCCCCACTTTTGCGATTTCAATCCTCTCTTGTTCTACCGCCAACAAGGAACCTTTGCCGCCTGCCCGCCGTTCCATTCTTGTCTTCTCCGGCTCTTCTTCGCCACCAGATCACACCAGCCGCCCAACCGCCAAAGCTTTGAGATTCACTGGCTACTCAAATAAGGGAACTATGCTCGTGCTTTGCTGGGATACAAAAGCCCTAAATTGAAAATTTACCAAAATTGACACAGATCTCTCTTACTAAGGTATAATCCGCAATTCTATCTATTCGCTTTGTTGCTTGCCCTCGTTTAGGATTAAATTGGTGGAGAGCAGAGGGACACTTTGACCCATGGATAGTTCGAGAGGGAAGGGATTAATTGGTACCCCTGCTTTTGCTTCTGTTGCAGGAGCTCTTTTCTCCTTTTAAATAATAAATACATTAAACATTAGTGGGACAAGTAGGGATTAGATTATTTATTTGTTGAGATGAGTTGATTCGTTTGAGGACTAGTTATTACTTATTAGAGTAGTTCTTACATTGGCAGCCATTAGTAAGCTACGAGTCCCTTTTTCTTGATTAGATTAACTAATTTTCTTGTTTGATTCATCTTCACTTACTGAATATCATCAGATCAAATGGACGAGTTGGCCATAAAGATGGTGGAAACATTTAAGCATAACCAGTATCCATTAGTTTATTTGCTTATTAAACTAACACTTATTTTGCCTGTTGCTACTGCAAGCGTGGAGAGGTCATTCTCAGCTATGACCTACATCAAAAACAAGTTTCGGAACCGAATAAGTGATGATTGGCTTAATGATTGCTTGGTAGGCTATATAGAAAAGGATGTACTTAGTAGTATAGACCCTGAATGTGTTGTACAGTGTTTTCAGAATATGAAATCACGTCGTGGTTCATTGTAGAAACAAACAAGTGTATCGTATTAGTAAAATGTCAAAATTATGTGTTCTATTTTTTTTTTTTTAATTTTGCATTAATAATATTTTCTAAGGACCCCAGTTCATCCAAAGTCTGGCTACGCCACTGGTTTGATCCCCTCATCTTTCTCTTTCGATCTTACAGAATTACCTATTTCATTCTCACTTGAATGAAAGAGGGAATACTTGAATCGAATTAATTTTCAGGGGAGGTCTCTGGGAGCAAATCAGCACCGGGAAAACATGGATGAGCCCGGCCGGCGGCCTCAAATCTACAACGTCGATCCTCTCAAATAATATACAGATCGCACAAGGCAAAGCTATATTATATGCACATATGGAGTAATGGCTCCAAGTTTATCACTATACAATTGTTCGATCCAAAGCGTCAAGTTCCCGGTGTTGGGTCTGACGTCGGTGTCGTCTCCGGCGGTGGTTGCTGTATTATCGGCGTCTGGCAATTAAGTGTGTAGGGAATGGGCCTTTATACAATTTTTACAAGTTCTCTGTAGTAGAAAAAAGGTATAGCTAGGGTGAATGGAGAATGTATTATTTCATTCTATTACCAGTCGAATACATACTCTTATTTTAGTATATTATTTTAATGATGGTATCCAATAAATTTCATTCCATTAATTTGTGTAGTATGATCTTTTGCTTGTAACCAAGGTTGTCAACCCGCGGGTTGACCTGGGGGTCGACCCAATTTAACCCTGACCCGGTGAGAAAAACGGGCCGCACGGACCCGTCGGGCCGATCGTTACAAGGTACCGGGTTGAAGGTCAAATTGTGTCATTTTTTTCTTTAGTTTGTAAAATGCCTCTATTTTCCAAATTTTCTTTTCACCTAACTGAATCTTTGGAATCATAAGTTATACATTTGAATATTTATGTTATATATGCGTGTGTGAATTTTCACTATATGTTGGATCTAAGTACGATATGTTATTTTGGTATAATATTATATGTTATAACTCATATGTTAGATAAGATTTGATATAATTTATGAAGATAAGTACAATATAATGACTCTTTCCATATTTCCGGGCCAAACCGGGCTAAAACGGGTGACCCATTTGTCAAGAACCAGTTGATCCCAATAACTCGAGTTGTTGGGAGAGGTTCAATCGTGGATCATATACCATTATCTAACACGCCCCCTCAAACGAAAGCCAACCCATGGGCTTGAAGTTTGCACAGGCCCACCATACCATGTGCTTGAAAGACAACGGTTAATATTGGGGGTCGTGGAGATTCGAACACATGACCTTTCGGTTCTAGACTCTGATACCATGTCAAGAACCAGTTGATCCCAATAACTCGAGTTGTTGGGAGAGGTTCAATCGTGGATCATATATCATTATCTAACACCATTAACCCTTGACCCACTAGCTCGACCGGGTCCGGGTCAACCCACTTGTTGACAACCTTGCTTATAACAAAATATAGAGAGACATGTAACATTTCTGTGATCTCTTGCTACTCTGGTCTTGCGGCAATAAGGTGGGTGGTTTCGGCTAGGGTTGGAGTTGGGCCTTTTTTATGTGTGCTTGGTTCCCATCGGGTTTGAGTTACTATTTTTCTTTGGGCTTTGCGACTTATCCCCCCCTCTTGTCTGCATTTCTGTAGGTTGGGCTGCTGTATAAATGATGTGTGGGCTCTAAGATTCTTGGACTTGACTTTCTATTCCTCCTTTGATTTTGGTCAAACAATAATTAGGATAACCTTCCTCGTGAAACTCGACAACGATACAGACTACTTTCGAGCTTTAACGGAGGGACCCTGGACTATTTTAGATCATTACTGTATAGTCTTCCAATGGACGCCGTCCTTTCGTCTGACAGATGAGTTGCCGAAAACGATGGTGGCCTGGGTCCAATTGCCAGCCTTCCCGGTTCACTTTTACCATCAAGAAATCCTTTTCTCCTTGGGGAACATGATTGGGCGAGCAATCAAGTTGGACTTTCACACACAACATCAACAACGCGTTAAGTTTGCTCGGATGGCTGTCGAACTCGACTTATCTAAACCGCTGGTAACCCGCATTCGGCTTGACGGAAAATGGCAGTACATTGAATATGAAAATCTACCAAAAGTGTGTTTCGAGTGCGGAAAGGTTGGGCACACGACAGCTTCCTGTCCTTCGCTGTGTGAATCGGCGGTTTCGATCAGGATCGGAACGGCTGCGGCCCCGCCGGAAAAGTGCTCGGAAGAGTCGTCGGAGGAGAAGGCTGGGTTTGGACCTTGGATGCAGGTCACACGACGATCACGGCGGGGAACACGGGGGCATGAGAAAGGAAACTCCGACATCAATCAAGGGGATTTGGTGGTTGGTGGAAACGCCGAAAAAGGAAAAGGCAACCACAAAATTTTGGAAGGTATCTCTGGAAGCAAGGGGGGATCTAGAGAGACTCAAGGCCAACGGACGGAAAATCTCAAGCTAAGCAGGGGGGAGAAGGGGAAGTATAACGATGGGGTACAGCAAAAGGGGAAAGAAAAAGTGAGTAAAACCATCGTGGAAGGGGTGACAGGCGGCCAAGGTGTTTTAGGCCCAATTCCAGTGGCCCAAAGAAATATGAACTCGGGTGCCAACAAGCCCACTTTGGACACGAAGAAGCAATGGGAGAGAGGCTCGACAAGCCTCGACAAAGATAATGGGCCTCTTTTGCTTAATGAAGGAACAGGCCCACGAAATGGTCCTGAACTGACTTGCTCCAGCCCACCGCCTACTCGGATAGTCAAGGGCCCCAACGACACTTCCATCCAGATAGTAGCAATTCCACCATATGAGTCTCAGCAAGCGGCAGAGCGGGAGACAAACTTCCCGTCGGCGGCAGTGCGGACCAAAAATCAAAAGGGGCATAAGAAGAAGAATTCGAAATCGCCTAGGAAGACATCAGTGCCGATCACCTCCAAAGCCCTGCAAGTCTGGACTCCGGTTAAGGAAAAGAAGAACAAGGCTAGAACTCGTTTGGCTTCACTTACCCTGCAAGAAATTGAGGCGTGGACGGGAGCGGCAAAGGCGGCTGCAACAGAGACAAGTCCACCCCAAGTTCTGGAAGTGGAGCCTAGCGAGAAGATGATCCCGGCTTTGGAGACTGCAGGCTCAGACTGATTGAGCGCTTATGTCTTTCGAGATTTCATTTCCGATTTTCTGCTCCTTATCTTCTCTTTTTTCCCTGTCTTATTTTTACTCTATTATGTCTGCTTTAAACAGCTTTAACACTAAAATTTTGTCGTGGAATGTAGGAGGAGCTGGCAATGCTGCTTTCTCCCGAGCTCTGAAGTTGATCGTGCACCATCACAAGCCTGATTTTTTGATCCTGTTGGAACCTCAAATTAGTGGGGAGGTGGCGGATCGGATCTGTGGAAAGTTGGGTTTTCCAAATGTCTTGAGAGTCGAAGCCGAGGGAAGGAAAGGGGGAATTTGGCTCTGCTGGGATGCTAAATGTTTCAAGGTGGAAGTGCTTTCGGCCTGCTTTCAGCACCTTACCGTGAAAATAACGCCGCCCGCAGCGCAGGCATGGTGCTTGACGGCCATCTATGCAAGTCCAAGACAAAGTTTGCAACATCATCTCTGGCAGGCTATATTTCGGCTCCGTGATGAGATGGAACTCCCCTGGCTCTTAACGGGATATTTCAACGCGATCAAGGACCCAGCAGAACAGGCAGGGCCGGCCACTCCTTCCATTTATCGGCGATGTAAACGTTTCAGCGACAGGATTAGCCAGGCCGCGCTCATTGACTTGGGGTTCTCCGGCTCTCGTTTCACTTGGACCAGGGGGGACACTCCCAGCTCCTACAAGGCGAGCCGGATTGACCGGAGCCTCTGCAATTCAACCTGGAACTCAGTCTTTCCCAGTTCTACTGTCACCCACCTCCCCCGGCTACATTCTGACCACCATCCGATCCTGACGTCTCTTGGAAACCAGGGAGTTCACCTTTCTTCCTACTCTCGTCCCTTTAAATTTGAGGGTGCTTGGTTAACTCATGAGTCTTATGATACCTTTCTGTCTAATAATTGGGACTCTCAGGCACCCCTGCAGGAGGCTCTCCAAGACATGGCCACTAAACTGTCTCAATGGAACCAATCAACGTTCGGGAATATTTATCGCAGAAAGAGAAGATTGATGAGCCGTATTCAAGGAATCCAAGCTAAGGTGGCTCATAATTTCTCGCCAGGTCTCTTCAAACTTCAGACTAAACTTGAGGAAGAGCTTGATAAAGTCTTGGAGCAAGAAGAGATCCTCTGGTTCCAGCGAGCCAGAGAGAAATGGGTCCAGTTTGGAGAGCGCAACACGGCCTATTTTCACCAGCAGGCTAATATTCGCCGGCGCAGGAATAAGATTGAGAGTCTTAAAGACAGCAATGGGGAGTGGATTTCTGATCCCCATGATCTTGCGAGTTTAGTCTTTGATTTTTTCTCTTCTCTGTATTTGCAGGATAGCCAGGAGTACACCGACGAAATGCCTAAGCAAGCTTTCCCGAGGATTGACCATGAGGATCTCATCTTTTTGCTTCGACCTTTTACTGGGGAGGACATTCATAGAGCAGTCCAGGATATGAAGCCCTTTCAGGCGCCGGGACCTGATGGCTTCCAGGCCATCTTCTACCAGAAATCTTGGCAAACTGTCGGGAAAGCTCTTATTGATATGGCTGTTAGTTTTTTCCTCGACAGGTATTCTGCCGGAGAAGGTAGTTGAGTCGACGGTGGTGCTCATCCCCAAAGTGGAGCATCCTGAGAGGGTCTCACAGCTTCGACCGATCTCTCTGAACAACGTGTGCCTAAAAGCTATCACGAAGGCGATCACCAACCGGCTGAAGCCGATTATGAGGAAGATTGTTTCGCCCCGTCAGAGCAACTTTATCCCAGGGAGACAAACCACTGATAATATTATTGTGTTGCAGGAGGTCCTTCATTCTCTTAGGAAGAGGAAAGGCAAGAGGGGAGGCATTGTGCTTAAGATTGACCTCGAAAAAGCTTACGATAGGCTGAGATGGCACTTTCTCCGGGATACGCTGAAGGAAGTGGGTTTGCCCAGTTCGTGGATCAATTGCATCATGTTTTGTGTAGAGAGTAACAAAATGCGCCTTCTTTGGAATGGGGAACTTTCTGATCCGATCACCCCTACCAGGGGAGTCCGCCAGGGAGACCCTCTTTCCCCTTATCTGTTTGTTTTGTGCATGGAAAGACTCTCTCACAGGATTGATCAAGCTATTCAGGAAAAGATTTGGAAACCGTTGAGCCTTTCTAGAGGGGGGGCCCTTGATTTCTCACCTGTTTTTTGCAGACGACCTTATTCTTTTTGCAGAAGCAGATGGGGCTCAGGTGCGGATAATCAAGAGATGTCTGGATGAATTCTGTCATAGCTCCGGGCAGCGAGTTAACTATGAGAAATCGGCAATTTTTGTTTCGGCAAACATCGACAGGCGGAAAGCGAGGAGATTGTCACAGCGGGCAGGCATTCCCCTCACTGTAGATCTGGGACGCTACCTTGGTGTGATGGCGATTCATGGTCGAGTCACCAAAACCAGATACCAGGACCTTATGCTGCGGATACAAAGGAAGTTAGCCCCATGGAAGACCAGGCACCTTTCGCTCGCTGCCCGGATCACTGTGGTTAAGTCCATTTCGGCTTCTATTCCGATTTATCCTATGCAAACAGAAATGCTCCCTATGAATGTATGCAGGTCTCTGGATCGGATCAATAGGAGCTTCATATGGGGGGATACCGAGGAAAAGAAAAAGCTTCATCTGGTACCCTGGGAACGCTTGCTGTTACCAAAACAGAATGGGGGGCTAGGGATCAGGTCGACTAGAGAAGTTAATGTAGCTATGCTGGCTAAAGGTGGGTGGCGCACCATCAAAGAGAAGGAGACTCTTTGGACTCAGCTAGTTCGCTCAAAGTATGGGAAGGGCCAAACGCAGCTCGACCTTCTGAGGCCTGTTCAGGGAAGTTCCTTTACCTGGTCTAGTTTTGCGAAGGCGGGGGACCTTCTTAGGAAGGGATGCGACTGGAATATTCATAGGGGTAACCGAACTAAATTTTGGTCTGACATATGGCTATCGCAGGTACCTCTCCAAGAACTGGCAACGGAGACAATCCCGGAGGCAGATCAAGACATGCTGGTGGAGGAATTTGTAGATGAGGACGGGAATTGGAAGACGGAGAAGTTCGAGCACATTCTTCCCGTGGACATAGTTCGGAAAATTACTACGCGGGCAGTAGATCCTCTCTCGACCGAGGAAGACACACTTATGTGGCAGCCGACACCGAATGGGCGTTTTTCTACCAAGAGTGCCTACCAGTTGCTCCAAGACCCTATCAATGATGAGAACCAACAATTTTGGAAGAGAATTTGGCGCCTTCCTGTACCAGAGCGTGTTCGCTGCTTCGTTTGGTTGGTGGCGCAGGGGAAGATCAGTTCTAATGAGGAGAGAGCTAAACGACACCTCACTCAAGACTCTTCCTGTTTTAGATGCCCTACTTGTACGGAGACGCTGCTGCATTTGTTCAGGGACTGCCCCCCGGCAGCATATCTTTGGAATCGGTCGGTCCAACCGGAGAAGCTTCAGAACTTCTTCACCTGTCCGTGGAACAACTGGTTGGAAGCCAACCTCAGCTGTGAGGAGACAGCTTCCCCCGGCCTCCCTTGGAACGTATTCTTTTGCATTGCACTCTGGAGCATGTGGAAGAATCGTAATGATGGAGCTTTCCATGGGGTAGGTAAGACTCTGTCCGCTCCTTCTATGTTGCAGGCTGTGAAGATCCGAGCTACCTTGTGGTGGAAAGCTTGGAACGCTCCAAGCCAGCTGGTGGGGCGAGCGAGCTCTTCCCAGAGTCGCACGACGGTACAGGTTGGTTGGAAGCCTCCCCCACCTGGGTGGAGTAAATTGAATGTGGACGGTGCAGCGGGGACTAGTGAAGGGATTGCAGGAGCAGGGGGAATATTGAGGGACGCCGACGGTAACTGGGTCGGGGGCTTTGTGGCTGGCTTGGGCTCTGGTACAGCCATTTGTTCGGAGTTATGGGCCATCTACCATGGTCTAAAGTTGGCTTGGAAGTATGGATGCAGAACTCTCATCGTGGAAACTGATTCCCAGTTAGCGACCCAACTTGTGAAGAACAGATCAGACCCTTTACATCCTTATGCAACCCTTTTAGCGGCCATCAGACGGCAGATTGCTCAAGACTGGATTGTGAATTTAGTTCATGTTTACCGAGAGGGGAATAGAGCCGCGGACTGGCTCTCGAAGCACAGTCTCGTCTATCCCTACGGTATACATGAATTAGAAACACCTCCAAGTGATATCATCTCGATTCTCCAGGAAGACACCAGAGGCATCACTTTTCCTAGACGCATAGCCCCTCTTCCTACTTCTCCCCATCTGTAACCTCGAGTTTCTTTTTCTGCGGCCTTTTGGCATCCCAGTATGCAAAAAAATAAAATATGATAGTACTTTTAATTAAATGTTAGCGTTCAAGAAAACATTTGTGTTAATTCACGTTTCTCTATACACAAATTCGAACAATGATATTTAATGAATACATTAAAATGAAATTTAAATTTCCTTGTGAACTTGTAAGTTAATATCAATCACTATGTGCATAATGTTTTGTCGATTTTTTTTATCATTAAATGAATTCTCTAACACCAGTTAAGATTCTGTCAAGCAATAGTGTATATGTTGTGCAAAGTGGTTCATTATGTGTCACAAGACCTAATCAATAATTTCATAAATGTTTTGGTGCTCTTGAAGATTACAAATGTTAAATTCATATGTTTGTGTTTACGTTAAATTTATGTCGCATCGTTTATTTACAACACATTCAACTATAGTCGTTTAAGTGATTTGTTTCGAGCCTCATGATGGGGGGACGCACGTAGCTAGTACAACTATTATTGAAATAAAATGAATTACTAGTAATTATTGAGATGTTATTGTTAAGGTTATGAAATAATTGAGTAGTGCAAATGTTTATTGGATGTTGCATCGGATTCTATATTGATGCTTTCTTTTGAGCTATTTGCCTTTTATATTCATCACAAGAATGAATCATGTTCATGGCTTGTTAGCTCAAACCCATTAACTTGGAGAGGAGAGAAAGTCGTTTAGAGAATGAACTCGACCTAAAAGCTCTCAAAGTCATGATTTGGGGAGGAAGGTAAGTTGTCTGGAAAATGAACTTGACCTGAAAAAGTCGAACCTGTGAACTAGATTTGGCCAAAAAGTTGGGCCGCAAATGAGTAAGAGCTGGTCGCCTTTCGGTTTGAGAACAATTCGTTTAATACTCGGTTCGTTTAGCACTTATTCGATTTGCATAGCTCGTGAGCCAGGTCGACTTAATAGCTTGTTGAGTTTAACACATGAGCTGCCTCGTTTTGAGCTATGAGATGGCTCGACCGTATGACTAGCGAGTCACCTTAACTGGCAACTTATAAGTGAATCGATTAATAGTTTATCATTCGCTTGTTGATAATATAATATAATATAATATATCTTTGTGATATTTAAACTTGCTAATAAAATATTATCATCACTTAAACTTGCTCAGATTACTCGGTCACATGGTTGTCATGCTGGTGGTATGCCACCCGGTTGAACATGGTTCAACCAGTGCCGGTCATGAAACCGACAAAAATACCACCGGTATGGCTGGCATGATCAATTTACAAACTCTAAGTAAAATGAGGCCGATTTAGTACATTTGATTGATAAAAAAACGAATCTATTATATGTTTTATGAATATAAAAGTTGATGTTATTTTTTATTTGGAATGTCGTATATTATTAAACCGACCTGAAATTTTTATTATATGTAATTTTTATATCTGTTGTACTTAAACATGAGTATTTGTATCTTTATTTGGAATGTCGTATATTATTAAATCGATATGAACTGACACAAATCAGTTGTACCATTGGTCATACCATTCTACTTGCTAAACCGACGCAACGGTATAAATCTGTTTGACAACCTTGCTCTCCGTCATGTAATTTTTAGCAGTGCAGTCAAAATCGCGCATTAAAATGTAAAAACTTACGTTTTTTACGTATCCAGGCCACCAAAACGTTTCAGTTTCTACCTAAAGTCGCTTAGTCACAAAAACTGGTAAAAACATGGGTAAAATCGCTTAAAATCGCGATTCTGAAGCGTTTTTATACGATTTTGATCATATCATAAAAATGTGCTAATTGGCCCAAAATGATGTAATTTTGGAGACATCAGCAAAAAATAAAAAAGAAAAACATGACCCATCACTCGTTCTACAACTAGTGTCGAGATAGGGGCTTCACATTATGTTGAAAAGACACCTAATGGTATTCTCAACAGTCGCTGACCTTCTATCAGTCTTCTCCCTTAATCTTCGCATGTGGCTCTTACCTGGGTTACGATAAAAGTTTATTGGTAATTGATTGTATGTAATTAATTAATTATGTAAACTCAAACCAGCTTATGAGAATTTGGATTCTCAAACTCGTTTACGGGTTACGATCTACACTTATGTGCTTATTATTAAGATATTATGAGTTTTCTCTACTTTTGAGTCAATACAAATTAGTTTATGTGTTAGATATTATATTTTAATTATGAATATAATGTATTTATTCACTTATATAAAATCTACACACTCACATTTTACATACTATATGTTGTACCTAACATATTTTAGCTATTTTAGAGGTGCGTCAAAAACTTACGCTTTTACGCTTTGATTCTACGTTTTACGATTTTACCCATTTTCCGCTTCTAGGTAGAATCGCGCTTTTAAGTGCATTTTCAGAGATGTTATGTTAGAACTTCTTAACATGTTTATTTTCTAACCGGGGTTGTCAATTGTCATCATAACCAGGTTGATTATCATACCACTTACCCGGGCCCTGACATGGCAACATTGAATTCAACACTTATCTGGGCCCATGGCCCATTCAGGGGAATGGGTTAACTCGGTTTCTGGAGTTTTGAGAGTTCCAAATTTCGTCCATTTCTTCCCTGACAGAACAGAATCACCGGCGCGGACAAAGGACACATCTCCCTTCGCCCTCATCATCATTCATTCCCAATCCGATTGCTTGTCAAAAAAATCATTCGTTTCCAATCCATCATTCTCGTTGATTGAGAGCAGCAGCACAACAGAGTCGCCTTTGCTAACCTTTTCCCTTGAATAAAAAATTTGGGAGATGGGAGGAAACGGACGAAAAAGATTGGAGATAAGGGAAAGCAAAGTCCGATCGACGATCAGCCACCACTGATTCGTTGCAACCGAATTTTGCTTCCGTGTCAAGACTGAACAACCGAATTCAATTACATACAACACAGCAGCAGCAGATAATAACAATAATAATAGCTTACATAAGGCGTCAGGGTTCTGCGGGAAGAAAGCGACCGCCCCTTTTTCTCTTCCCACTCGAGTGGCGTGGCGGTGGAGGTTTGTCAGGCCCCGCCGTTGATTCCATTTCTGCACCCGACCCTCTCTCTGCCGTTGCCAGGGCTCGGAGAAAAAAGTGCGAATACCCCCGAGGAAGTTTTCCTCGATTAGATTCCCCGATTTCCATCTGCTGCTCACTGAAATTGATCGGTGAGAGTCTCCGTCTGCCAAAAGCTTGAGTTGATTGTTAGTGTAGCTTTCGATCCTTTTTGATTTTGGCCTCGTGGGTCCTTTGCGTCTCTTCCTCTCTTCGAAGCTTCTCCTGAAATAGTAAATTCCCAACTGAATTTCCTTCCCCTGTTTCGTTTCCGCTTTGCTTGTTTCGATCTCGCTAGTTGATTTTCTCTGGGCAGATTTCAATTTCCTTTTTTCTCCAAGATACGGGGTTTCCCCCCTTCTCCTCGTCGCTGTATTGCTGTCGCTGTCATGATAGCATAATGGTTACAATAACAATTTGGGGATGTTGTCTTTATGGTTAGGGATTAGGGACTGTGGGTGCGAGGGAATTTACCTGAAACTTACTGGGAATCTTTGTTTTAGGATACAGACTTATCAAGAAGCAAAATATAGAAAGAAAGTTGCAATCTTTTCCCCAGGTTTGTGCCCACCTGAATAGACTGGTGAATCAATTCATCCGCTAGAAATGTGTTCATTAGTTTCTCTCTGCTCATTCATTGCTCTTTCTTCTTTCCATTTGATGGACCTGGAAAGTGTAGCACAACTACAGCCCTACAATCATTTTCAATATGATTTGAATGTAATCAGGGTTTTAAATGCTATCTGGTTTTCAATAAGCGTGTATATATTTATGTTTGTGTTCTGGGTTGCAGGCTGTAGGCCATACACAAGAAAGCTGCGCTATCGTACTGGTGGACCAAATGGGTGATAATGAGATTGGGGACGAAGAGGATCTCTCACGTGTTAAATCTGATGTGGGGAGATGGCCTGTTTTCTATTATGGGGTCGGTCACATGCTTAATGATATCACTTCTTCATGCTGGTTTACTTATCTCTTACTGTTCTTGGCAGACATCGGACTCTCCCCAAGGTAAAAACTTTCGATTTTAACTAACTCTTTTCCAAGTCATCGACTATTATAGAACACTGTTTTTTTTTTCCACTGCATTTTGTGGGGCCTTTGATCCCTGAATGACCCGATTGGGGCACCTGATAATGATAGAATGGTTCCACAGTTTCTATACACATAGCATTGATAGATGAATGTATCTATTCCTATATTAGACATACATTAACCTATCATTATCAGCACCCTCTCTTAGCATTATCCTTCACATTATGAAAATGAAACTTCCATGGTAGCTGGCTGTGGATTGGTAACTACAGCTAGCTGAAATTAGTAAACTTTCTTCTTCCCTTGTGTACTTTCTATTCGTCCAGAGTAAGCTATGTTCATAAATAAATTGACAAACAAAATTTGGTGATTGAATGGGAGTTTGTGATTTTTGTTTCTCCTACAAATAACCTTGACCTTGACATCCTCAACTTATTATAGAAACCAGTTGCGGAGGGTTTGTTTAGTCTATTAGGCTTTCTGTCCAGTTGCCGTCATATGTCTCTGATGATTTGTTCATGTGATGTGCAATTCAAAGTCTCTGCTGTTTCCCTTCTTGTCTTGTTTGTTCATTTGGCAAATGGTGTTGAAAGTGGAAGTGATGAATTACGATTAGGTCAAACAAAGTTAACTCTACATTTGTGGCCTCTAGAGGAGACATGTGGACATAGATTAGTTAATTGTTCCCACAAGAATGTGAGAGGATAGAGGGTTGTACTCAATGAAAACATGGATACGAACTGAGGTCAGAATGGTCGGGCCGCAGGGTTGTATTTATTTTCATTTATTCTACTGTCATTTTTAAAACATGGTAGTGGTGAAGGCAGGCTGAACAATGTCTTAGTTTTGTGGATCGTTATTCTTCAAGCTTCACATATCAGATTTCAGTCAGCTGATGGATCAAATTGATCTTATTTTCAGGGATGCTGCAATAGTCATGCTTTCGGGGCAGATAGCTGATGGGTTTGCTACCGTTTTTACCGGGGAACTGGTACTCTTAAGACTTTTTCTGGAACTATAGATTCCGAATAGTGATATTATGTTTAGTGTCCTTGACAATGTTCTTAATTCTTATGAAATTAAGTACACTTAACCTTGTATTCTCGTAAGTTTGTCTTCTACGATTACCACTTCCTGAAAATTGTTCAAGACTTTGAACAGAGATCTCAGCAACTTATGAGTCATAAAGGTTCTCATGACCAATATGGGACTACTCAAGTTGTTTGTGCATTGCTTTTTCTCATTTGTCATATACTTCAGTTGAAAGTTGAAACCCCTTGCAAGCTGCGCTTTACCTTAAAGCTAAACAAGTCAAGGAGGAACCTGTTCGGATATCGTTGAATATGACTAGGACAATTGTCTGCAAAAAGAAACTTTTCATATGACGTGCTTCTTCATGTCACCTAATATGCTCGGCTGCTAGTTCAGTGGATCAATTGACTTTGAAATGGAAGTTTTTTTGTAAATTTATACTCGAGCATCTGATTAATACTTGCTTCTTGATATGGATCTGAGAAATTCAAATGCAGTTCAAACTTAGTTCTCTTGTTATTGAAACATCTCCAATGTTTTTACCTTTTCTTTTTCTTATCAACACTAACCGAATTTTTTTTCCAATTGTTTATTTATTTATTTCATAGATAGACAGGTTTGGACATTTCAAAGTATGGCATGGTGCCGGATCGGTTTTAGTTGCAGTTTCATTTTCCTCTGTTTTTGGAGGTTGCTTACCCTGTCGAATCTTCAGTACCAGTTCAGTGGTGGAAACCACCTCATACAGTGTAGCTGCTGCAATCTTTAATATGGGTTGGGCTGCTGCTCAAGTTTCACATATGTAATGTTCGCCAGGCTTTGTTGCTTCAGTGCAGTTACTGCTTTAGTTTCATTCAAATGCATGTTAGTATAATTTTATGTTCCAAAGTTAAATTGGTATTATTGAGTCCAGAATGCTTATTTCCTGGTATTTCCTTCTCCGCTGTTTCATAGTTCCCTCTCCATGTTTTTGCTAAATCCAACTTTTGGTTGAATTAAGAAGCTTTATTGTGTCTTCTCTATATCCTGAAATCGTAGTGTCGTATGCTTGTTTGGGACCAGTAGAAAATTACTGTCCTTTTACGTTATTAGCATATTAGAATAACCATTATAAAATGTGAATTGATTTGAAAGGATGGCAGGATGCTGATAAACTTTTTTTGTTTTGTTTCGTTTGATGTAAGGGCAATGGTTAACTGCATCTCATTGAATTCAACCTCTAGAGTAGTCCTGACAAGCTGCCGGAATGCTTTTACCATGGTTTTGTTCCCAGCACCATTCATTTTCTTACCTCCTATGCTTGATATTTATAATTAGGATGTTCATGAGGTGTTTTGTTTTCCATGCTCTCCAGGTTGCTAATCTCAGCCTCTATGCAATTGCCTTGGTAGTCTTTAGTGTTATTACAGGAAAATCTCATGCCGATATTCAGAATCAGGTATTGGCTTTCTCAAGTTATGCTTTTGTTAATGTTAACACATGGGGCTTATGACTGATGGATGGGTGTTTCTTTCTGAACTTTTTCTTATGAGCAGTACCGATGGATTGCATATTCATCTATCTTCATTGGTTGCTGTTTTGTTGGGATATTTCATTTCGGGACCAAAGAACCAAGGTATCTCATAGATCTCTTAACTAAAATTTATATGCACTTGTAATTTCAGTATCAGTTATTATAGCTTCTTAATTTTTTCGTTGAATGCATAGTTTATCTGTCCGTGCTGATTAAAAGATACACCGGTATGATTTAGGTTAAAGATGAGCATCCATGGGAATGACCATATGAGGATATCATGGGCTTATTGGTTCAAGAAAGCTTTATACTATCAAGTTGGCATTGTATATGTACTCACCAGACTAGTACAAAATGTTTCACAGGTCAGCATGCATTTCTTTTTTATGTGAAGGAATTTATCTGTACGATTGTTGATCTTTATACCAATTGAAGCACACTTGCTGAGGTTCTGCTGCATATGAAAACTGTAGAAAGCTGAAAGTTCATTGTGATATTTACCATGTGAATACTGCCTGCTCTGGATAGATCATCGGCATTATTAAGTCTTGGAATAAAGTGGCAGTCGTTTCCAAATTGGTATTTAATCATGTAGTTTGACACCATGATTCTTTGGTTTCTTTTAGGCATACCTTGCCTTTTATGTTATTCAAGATTTGCACATGGCTCAGTCAGCTAAAGCTTTGGTATGTCCACTCACCTTGTTGGCTGCTGTGGTTCCACCTTGTGCTTAATTCTAGTTAAATTAATGCTGATCTAATACCATGGCAATTTGATGGAATTCAGGTTCCTGCAATCATCTATATCAGTAGCTTTGTAGTCTCTATCATGATGCAGGTTTTCTTCACAACCATAAATCATCTCTTCCTCTCCCTTCAAAAAATTTGTATCCCCCTAATGATTTCTCTTATACTCATAATTCGAGGAAGTATCATGGACTGGCCAACGCCTAAAAGCTTACTTTTCCATCGGTGGAATCCTTTGGGTCTTTTGTGGTGCAAGCATCATTCTTTTACCTTCCAACATGAAAGTTTACATGTACGTCATATCGGCATTCATTGGCGTAGCTAATGCTCTGATGATGGTACGCGACATCCTTTCCAATCAATATGTACACATGAAAGTTTGAGCAGAATATACAGGGTCATTTTTATAGATATGCTTTCCCTTTGATTGATTTCTAATTATGACTATGAAACTGAACTCTATAGGTAACTGCAGTAAGCATGCAGAGCGTCCTAGTTGGTTTGGATCTCAATGGCTGTGCATTCGTCTACGGATCCCTGAGCTTCCTTGACAAGATCTCTTGTGGGATTGCACTTTATGTCCTTCAGTCATTTCAAAGTAAGTTATCTTCACTTGCAAGGTTCAATTCACGATGCTGTTTTCAATAGTTTACAGGCAAATAAGATCCCTTAGTCGTAGAGCTTGCAGGGGGTTTTATTTTTATTTTACTTGCTCGAGTTTCTGGTTTGTCATTAAGCCCACTGAAATGAACTGCATTTGCAGGCGGGGCCTCACCAGTAGCCCCAGCAGCAGATGGTGGCCTATCTTCTTCAGGTTATGTTTCGGTAACAAGATATGGTCTAGGTCTAGTTCCGGCTGTTAGTTCACTCGTGGGAGTTGGTGTGACATTGACAATGAAACTCCATACACATTCAGGATCCCTCACAAAGCCATTGTTGGAGTAGGGTTACTTATTTTGCAAGAACACGCCATAGCTTCCTTCTGTTCCTGTCTTTTGAACTAGTTCATGAAACCATGAATTAACCACTTCGCACATACAGGAACCAAGTTGGATCTTTAACTCTGTACATGTTTGTTGGGAACACCTTGCCAGTATACATGTTATTAACCCATAACATTGTAAAGCTACATTCATAATTTGATAGAAGATTTGAATTTTGTCCATGACACATGAAATCCCTTTGTCCATGACACATGAAATCCCTTACTAGGTAACATCTTGCAAGCATCTTGAGAACAGCTCTCATACCACAATCACGAATCAGTTCATCTTCGTTCTCGTTGCCCGGAATGCATGTGTTGGCCATCTGTGCTACTACCGGAAAGTCACCTTGGCCAAAGAGTCTTCAGTCGAAGAATGCATGTAACGGCTCATCTAACATTTCTCTAACTAGCTTTGTACATGCGGGAATCAGTGTGTTCGTTAATTATGAATGGTACATCCTTCAGCCACTTCCCCTCTTGTAAATCTATGTTTGAACCATGTCAAAGTCCATTCCAAATTTTATTCTTAGCTTAAACAAAGCTGGTGTACCAATGCTTCCTCTTGCTCTCGTCCTACAGGAAACGATAAACCAGCATTCTCTCACGGGCTACACGTTTCTAAATACTTTAAGTCCAAAGCACACAACTCTACACTACATCGAGAGCCAAACAAATTCGGACAGTGATGTAAGGCTGATGACTGGGCTGATCAAGAGTCGGAACTCAAAGGACTCTTCAGTGCCTGAAATGCCTGACGTTGGTAAACAGTAATGTAACTCCGTACTTATTGCAGCAGTCTATGGCATCCTGATCTCTGATGCTACCACCTGGCTCTGCTATAACACCAATTCCAGCTTGGCATGCTTCTTCCACAGCATCATTCCAAGCTATAAGATGTAGCAGCACAATGCATTCCACAAATTAGAATCATAGATGGTGGGCAACACTGAAATTCAAGCTACTCTAATCCCTCCTTAGAAAAAAATACAGTGATCTATTTCCAAATCCTTACCGAATGGGAAGAAGGCATCACTAGCCAATGCAGCTCCCTTCACCTCATCTCCTGCCTTTCTCATTGCGATTCTTAAGCTTTCCACACGATTCGGCTGCCCACTTCCCATGCCTAGCATGCAGTTATCCTGCTCAAAGGGGCAAATCATTAATAGAGCCCAAATGGAAGAGAAGCAGCTTTTTGCACTTCCCAAAAGTTGGATTCACCAGAGTTCTAAGAAAACCCTTAAGCCATACCTTTGCGATGACAATTGCATTGCTCTTCACGTGTTTCACACAAAGCCATGCAAACTTTGCATCACTAAGTGCACTTTCATCTGCTGACTTCTCAGCCACCGCCTTGAATTGGATATCTTCTGGGGTCAAGTCATCTGATTGTTGGGCCAACCACCCACCGCCAACCTGCCTTAGAGAAAGCTTTCCTTTCTCATTCTTTCTCGCCTCGAGGATCCTCAATGTCTTTGACTTGCCACGAAGAGTCTCAAGCCCCTTTTCTGTATACTTTGGAGCCACCACTATCTCATAGAACATTCGTGTCTCGCCATCAGTAGGGCTTCTAAACTCCCTGATTTCCCTAGCAAGAGCCTATAAAATAGAACAGAGGCAAGGACTTTTATCTTGTTTTCTCAGTTAAACCACACTAAGGGGCATGACGTGGATAAAAAGAGACTGTAATATAATTTGAATAAAAGAAAAAGATAAGTAACACAAAATGGCTAGGACTTTAACTTGACTTTCATGCATACCTCATCAACTTCGGTGTTGAAAGCAACAATACCACCAAATGCACTAACTGGATCTGCCTTTACAGCCAGCCTGTATGCTTCCAGGATGTCAACACGAGAAGCCACCCCACAAGGATTTGTGTGCTTTACAACAACGCATGTAGGACTCTGAAACTCCGAAACACAATTCCAAGCTGCATCTGCATCTAAATAGTTGTTGTATGACATTTCCTGCAAGAGGATGACGAAGCTAGGATTAACTGTTTAGCTGATCAGGTGAATTTTTCATTAAAAAGATGTTAACAAACACAAGAATGCACAGCTCCTCACCTTGCCATGGTGTTGAATAGCAGTTGCAATGCCACCGGCATTGACCTCTGAAATACTCTTGTCAACATAAAATGCAGCCTTCTGGTGCGGATTTTCACCATATCGGAGAGAGCTCTTAAGTGACAGGGGAACCGTGAAACTGTGCGGAAATTTATCTTCTGATATGAGGAAAATAACCGATTAAGACATATTTAAACCAAGTGCTGATTTAACAGTTAAACAAGTTCTATCACAATTGCAATTGCATAAGAAAGTTGCCCACACACCACTTAATACAGCTTTCATAATCTGATCCAGAAAAATCCTAAGTTCTCTCAGGCACATATTAAGTAGTTCAAGAAACAACTATTTGTCCTGGCAACAATATTATTGATTTATTTAATTCATTCTGAAATAATTCTGGGTCTCAGCAATCAAGATCGACTAGTAAGAGGTATATTTCCTCGGAAAATAAATTACAGAAGACAGCAGATGAACAAATACCTCCATTGGTTTGCTTCCAAAGCCACTCAGAAACTGCAGAATCATAAGAAGCAACATGTTGGAAGGCCTTCCAGGCAAGCTTTCTACGGAATTGTTGATCATCTTGACTTGTTTTGAGAAACTCAAGCAGTTCAGGATAGTCTCCTGAGTCTACGACGACCAAGACATCTTTATGATTCTGTTTACCATCAACCACATTTAAGTATCAACAGAAGTACAATTTTGTAGTCCTTTATTTTGGCTAGCCAACAATGAAATATAATTATGTAAAAAAGAAGAAGTAGGATTACCTTAGCAGCTGCTCGTATCATAGCAGGGCCACCAATATCAATGTTCTCAATTCCATCCTCAAATTTAATTCCTCCAGTTGCAGTAACTTTATCATAGAATGGGTACAAGTTCACCACTACGATATCAAAAGTACCTGCAGAGGAATAAGTTGAGCAAAATATAATAAATATCCTCTCGCTGAACAATCTACACATACATGCCAAATCATTGGAGATTGGCCATGCTGATAGCTGAAAGTCTAGCTAATAGCCTCACAGCTATCATATTATTTTTTCATCACATACCTAAGTGAACTTCAGAACGATCTATATACAAGTCAGAACACTAATGCCTGATACTAGCCTTACATGTTCAAAGCTGAGCAAATGGTATGTCTAAACATCGAGAAGGCCAGCTCTCACACCAAATAAATCTCATCCCTCAATAAACTATGGCAGAATGCAGAATAGACAAATGGACTTGCTACTGATCAGTTGCTGGAATATTGCTAAGATATATAACATTTCGGCTGAACTACAACCAAGTAAAGATTGCTGATACAACGATTGTAAAACATTCAAAACATCACTCGAAGAAGTGACACACATTTCAACGAGAAAGTTGAAGCTCAAAGCCAGAGGTGCCATCAATTATATACTAACCAAGCAAGAAAGCCATGAAGTGGGTAATGGAGAAGGAGTTTATGACCAAAGCATCATCCCATAACTCACCAATTCCATGAGAACTAAGATCTTCCATATGATGTTTTTTATCCCTTCTGGCAAGAATACCACCATGTATGTTGGGGTGTAATGTTTTCACACGTCCATCAAGCTGTTTGAATGTAAAAGCTCTTTCATCAGATTTCATTAAAGTCGTCAAGAAAATCAACTTCACACATCAATCTCATGTATTCCAGTGATGGGAACTTCAGTGTTCATCAATGGTATCACCAAAGCCAATTTCACATAGACTCATGTTACAATAATAGTCATAAGAGCTCCAGTTTATAGCTCCCCGTCCCAAGCAGAGACATCAAATTTCATAACCGCATCCGCCATGTTAGATAACTCAGGTTATAGAATCTACAAGCAATTCGAATTGCTAAATCAAGGAAATCGAATTAAGAAATGGTACCATTTCAGGGAAATGGGTCAGCTGCTCTACTTTAGTTACGGACACCCCTGCACTTTCCAAAGAAGAAGCTGTACCTCCTGTTGATACAATGGTGTACCTGCAATTCAGCCAAGGGACCAAATGATGCAACCTCCTAAAGCACTGTAATCTACTCCCCCCTTAACAAACACTCATATACGTGCAAAATATTTCAAGAACCAGAAATTGCACAGCAAAATGGGAACTTGAAAAATTACGACACAAGTAGAGGCAGCAATGAAACAGCGGGGTTACCCTAAACTTTGTAGCCCGTTACCAAGAAAAGCCAAGTCTTTCTTATCCGACAAAGATATCAGAACCTGCTTTTGGCCTGAAACAAGGACACAAAATGAAGAAATTCGGAAAAAGGAACACCAGACTAACCATCAACTGTGACAAATAAGAAACCAAAGGCAAGAGTAGAGAGTAGTACCAGAAGGATAAGAAGACTGGGCCTCCTTATTCGACATCGCAACAGCTTGAGACTCGCTTATGGCTTTCAGCGCAAAGGACTTCGATTGCAGAGAAACGGAAGGAACTTGAAGGAAGCAATTTGAAGCCTGAATGAAACTCAAAATTAATCCATAAAAATAATACCCATAGAGGAAGAAACAAACCCAAAAACAAAAGGCAGAAGATTGTACCGCTTGACAGGACGAAATGATGGAGGCGAGGGTTTTTCTTTGGTGAAGCAGGCCGTAAGGTGTGCCGCAGTGCGCCGAGTTACCGGCGGTGACCGTGGTCGAAATGGCGGCGGTGGCGGCGGTGGCAGCTGGGGAAACGCGAGTCAAGCCGAACATTGCTACACCAGTTTGCCGCGCGCCTAAAAGACACTTGTGGGCGGGTTGCTGAGTTCTGCAGTGTGAATGGACACACTGGACAGCGGAAGCATTGTTTTTAAACCGACCAAACGAACCGCTACCGGGTAACAAATCCGGTCAGGTTAGGATTCTAAGCGGTTACAATTTTACAATAGACCCGGAACGGTTTTTGCGATTGATCGGTCGAACCAGGTAAGCTAGTTTGAAGTTTGAACGGCCAATTTTTTTGATAATGTTTATTTTTTATCCAAAACTTTTTCATATTCTTTTATATTATCCAAACCTATTAAAATGCTATTAATTAGTCAAATCTTTCATAATTTATCAAAATATTAGTCATTTTTACGTTGTCGTTAATAATTTTGTAACTCTTTTCTTTATTAAAATACTAAAATTTTGCAATGTTGATAATCATGTGTCTCTTCAAGTCAGTATCATGTTGCCAAGTCAACATTGCTAACAAAATTGCTAATTGAAAGTTAACATTTGGCTACTTTTTAGCGTTTCGATAGATTTGAATAATATAAAAGAATCTAAAAAATGTTGGGATAAAAAATAGACATTACCTTTTTTTTTACAAAAGATAATCATATATTGATTCAGAGAACAGATAGTTACATCCCGAAATTCAGTCAGGCCTGAAAATCAAAGAAACGACTCGCAGTCGGGTACAAAGAAAGGGCCTTCCGAGGCCACCAAATGGGCTACCCTATTGCTATGCCGACCTACAAACCGTACACTAAACCCGGATAGCTATCAAAGTATTGCACAACCTCAACAACAATAACCCACATCCGGCTATCTCTAGCATCCATTCCAATGATTTTATCAATAATCACTTTCGCATCACCTTCAAACCTCATTTCCGTGAACCGAGACACCATAAAATCGCATCACCAGCTAGGGGAAAGATTGGATAGCTCGATCTCAAACTCACTCATCGCTCTCATAGGATTGAGTGCACTAATATTTTTTTCTTCTACTAGTGGCAATTGTTATATTTAATATTGTTATATAACATAGGTAACCGCAACTAAATGAATTAGCGGACATAAATCCTTTACTAATTTTGAGAGGATAGATAGTTTATGATCATATATGAAGGAAATGTCTTATTTGCGTTGGAGAATGTCCAAAAATACAGCACTATTTTTTTTATGTATAAAACAGAGCTAACTATTAAATTGCAAGGAAAAATATAGTTACATAGATCAAAGACAAAGAAACTAGTCTCTATGGCGCCTCTATAAGTACCTCCATGGCTCTACAATCTTCTCTCCCCACACCACAACCCTTTCATCTCATTCCTCTCCAATCTTCTCAAACTATGGCGCCTCTATAAAAAAAAAAAAAAGATGGAGAAAATAGTCTCCCTCATCGTTCTCGTCCTCCTCCTGCTGCTCTCTAGCTTGCTTAGTCCTATTCCTAACCCTACGCTGCTCCCTAGCTTGCTTAGTCCTATTCCTAACCCTACGCCCTAAACACCCTCGGTGATGGCATGGTACGAGCTGGGGATGGATCTGGACACTGGGAAGGTTGTCTTGAACATCATAGCAAGAGGGAAGATGAGGTTGAAGATCCTAGGGTTTTTTACCGACGTGTAGGTATAGGTTTCATGTCGATTGTACTGCGGTTATTGTCTTGTATGGGTCAGGAAACTGGCCACTGCTAAATGAGTCTCGATGTTATATGTATGTGAACAATTAATAACATGGGATCTTCTTTGTAATCTTCTTTCTTTTGTTGGACGATTTCGTTGTGATGTAACTTGGATTTAAATTTTTTTCACAGATCGAACGAGTTTGTTGTGGTCTACAAAATGAGATCAATTTTAAATATATTTCGAGGAAAAAAAAATCATACCACTCGAGAAAGAAAAAAAATCTTTACCATATGGTATCACGTTCGTTTTTTAGTCGATTTTGAAAATTTTGCACAAAATGAACGAGTTCATCGTGATCTATTGGATCTTCAAATTTCTAGAGAGAAAAATACATGACAAAAAAATACCACCTCATACCACCCTGGTATAGTAGCGGTATCTTGTGGTACACAATGTTGATAGTTGTACATGACATTTAGTATTTTCCTACTATCATGTATTCAAGCATTTTACAGTCTAGTATGTTCATACCACCATGATAGTATGATACACCTCCATACCACGTGGTATGCTTTTATGTAATACAAATACCACCATTTTCATTTTTTTCTTATACAAATATGAAATATGGAATATATATTGAAGTTATTTTAGCCCAAACCATTCTATTTAGAGGTGCCAAATGGATTGGCTTCATGGGTTGGTGGATTGGATCAATGGATTCATGGATCAAATAGATTGGATCAAGTGGATTCATGGATTGGATCAAGTGGATTGGTGGATTATCCATGAATCTAAATGACATCCAAAGCCTAGGACAAATATGTAAATTTTGAAAAGTTTAGGTACTAAAATATCATAATGAAAATTTTAGGTACCAAAACATAAATTTCCAATGATATTTTTCGTATAAAAATATAAATTTTAGGTACCAAATGTAAAATAAAATAATTATAAGTACCAAACCGTAATTTGTCATTTGAATTCATTAATCAATCCATGAATCCACCAATCCAATTGGATTAAGATCAAATGGATTGGATTTAAATGTGGATTAAGTGGATAATTTAATGGATGGATTGGATTGGATTGAATTCATGGATTTGATAGCTAATTGCCACCTCTAATTCTATTACCGTTGATCATCGATTTCATCATGATTAATAAAAAACCATGAACCACTATTATAATGGTATTATAGTTGGGATTAATACCCGAACTTTATGCTAATAAACTACTTTGGTCTGAGATTTATAAAATATCCATTCTGACCCAAGCTATAAACCATGTAAAGTAATTTGGCCTAATCCATAGATTAACCGTTGAGAATGGAACCAGATGGTGAACCACTGAAATTCGCATAACTTTCTGCCAAACAACCTGTTTGGAAATAGCGACAATAATGTCAATCCCTTCTCTGATGGCCATTACAAGGTCGTTACAAGACTTGGCACGGGGGACACAGTGATCACTTCCTACATTCATATTCATATTGTCATGGTAAAAGATCAATTCATGGCCTCATAGTCATCCAATTTATCGTTGTATTGAAGCACTTTCCTCCTTATCTTGGATGTGTCCACCCAGGTAATGAAGTCCTCCATGTTCCTCGTAACCAGGAATGCCGGGTCGGTCACAGTCTCTGGACCTACTCGAACGTGGCCTTGCTCGATGTATGTCACGGCTTCTTTCAAATGTTCAGCAAACTTTGCACGCACCAATACAGTTGCAAGCCTTCGTCTACAAAGCAGAAGAAATGCACAAGATTATAATCTCTGTTAAGCACAAACCGAAATGTGTTTGACTGCATAAGAATTCTGGCTCAACGAAACGTTAGCCCTTACCTGCAGAAGGAAGAGACGGACAAGCGGTCACAAAGGGCTAAGCTTTTCCTGCTTGGTATAACTCCCATGTTATACCTGTCATTTCAAAAGGGAAGAACATCAGAACCACACTGCTTCAACCAATGCAGATCAAACAGCCTTCATGACAGTTCGTCATAGAATAGCATTAGTAACTTGCACCAAAAAATTGATTTTAGCATGTTTACTAGAGCTAACATATGAACTACCACAGTAATGCAGTGATCAGTCCTCTTTAAATCATGGAAGATTAATATCTGTCGAAAGAGAGGACTCTATTGAAACAGCAAGTTATAAGTGTACCTTAATTGGTGAGACATAGAATCAAATTTTCATCTCAAATAAGTCTCACCAGGACAGTTCGAGTGGAAACTATAAAGTCTAAAAGCATACACATGGATATATGTTTTCTTAGTTTGGCTCACTTACTTTCTAGGAGGATGAGTTTGATAGCGACAAACATCAAATTGTGAGCAGCACACGAAAATGCACACCAACGGAAGAAAAAAATCAACAGGAGACTGAATCAAGAGGGAAAGGGGACTCACAGCTTCTCCAGAAGCATATCCGTCATTTCAATGCGATAGGGATCTTTGGGATGCATCTGTTTCAGGATATTCACCAATTTCTGCACCATTCGGCACAAACCAGAATACCTGATTTGTGTTTCACAGTGATTGAAATAGTTAGAAGGAAAGAGAATTAAGACGCACCCAGCTGAAGAATGAACAAACAGTGTGAGAGAGGGGGGGAGAGAGAGAGAGAGAGAGAGAGTACATACTTCTTGTAATCATCACGCTCGACAACATGGTAACGTTGCATCACCTGGGCTTCCCTGTGGTTCCCTTCCCTCTTCCATTCTAAGAAGTTTACTTTCTTCAGAAGCTTTTTCTCATGAAATTTCAACTTCCTCATCTTTGCTACTTCACCAACCAACGACTGCGAAGATTCCTAGCACTGAAAAATACAGAAAACAGCAGGATCATTATAAAGGAGCATATGCAGATACAGATATGATAAAGAAACACAGACAAACTTCCTCTGTCACGTCAGAACCCTGGATATGACAAGCATGTAGATCATTCTATCAAATCCGATTCAATCCATAACATCCTAACAAAAATCTAAGCCAATTTGACCCATAAAAACCAATTATAGTCCACAACGCTCGATTTCCAAGCTTTCTTAAGTTCCAGACAGAGTTCAATCGGTTCATGACACCATGTGAGAGCTAATGTATAAAAAAGTAACAAAAGGAAACTGCAGGATGCTGGGAGTTCAGGCCTCAGGGGAACACAAAAAGAAAAACTGAAGATCCAGCCAAAAACAAAGAACTCATGAGTGAACAAGTAACCAAAGCAGAATCCAACTGACTCAGAACTAGGGCAACCAACAATACCTATGCTAGAAAGAATCAGTTCTCATATAAAAACAATCGACATTCAATCACTAGTAGCTATAACTCCTAACAAAACACATAAAACGTTTTATTAAAACCCAGCAATGAATCTCAACTAATCTAAAAAGGAGAATCTTTTATCATTGCAACAGCAGGAATAGGTCTCAAACTTCCTTGAGAGCTTCAAATCAGATAACAAAATTTCTCCCGCAAACCTACCCACTACACAGTGAACTTTACCATATAAGAGCAGCAGAACCAAGGAACTAGAGACGACATGACCATACTAATCACCATTTCACCAATTCACAATGTCGGTAGAGAAAGCAACACGGCATATGAACGCTCGCCGACTATAGAACCAATGCAAGGAAAGCCAAAAATCAACCCGCATCAACGGGAAATTGGGGAATCCAGAATCCATTTACCTTGAATACACCGCGATTTCAGGCGACGGAGAGTGGTGGCGAGCGGTGGAGGAGAAGACTGAAGAGGCGAGGGCGAGGGCGAAAGAGGCGAGAGTCGGGGACTTGGCTAATGCTGATTCTCAAATCTCAATGCCTGGACGACTGAACATGGGTTTAGGGGTTTATGGGATTAAGTGCAAGAATGGTCATTCAACTAAGGGGTGAAAACAAATTGGTCATCAAACTATTTTTCTTAACAGAATTCGGTTAAACTAGCAAAAAACTTACCCAAATTTAAGGGAAAAAAAATGGTATCAGATATTACCCAAATTTTGTATGTAACAGAACTTTTAAGATATTAGATATAACAAAAATTAGGATTTTGCTACGGTGACATGCATGTCACCGTGACATGGACTTTTCGGTCGACCGAATACAACTTGCGGTCGACCGAATGGGCTAATTCATGTATGTTGGGTTCCTGAAGGCGGTCGACCTCTTACAAAATGAGGTCGACCGTTTTGGTGGTCTAACAGAATGACAGGTCGACCCAAATATCGCATAGGCCGACCCTTGTGCACCTAACAGGTCGACCGCATTGTGAAGAGGTCGACCGCCTTCAGACCGTATCCGTATTGGATATGGATTCCAACACCAGAAAGGTTCCACAATTGGACAAGGAAACGAATTGGGTCGACCCATTCACGTCCTAAATCTCTATAAATACGAATATGAGTCCCCTTCAACGCCACCAAGTCTGAATTAGGTTTTTTTCCGACTTAGAGCCTTTGTGAAGAAGATCGTTCGCGGTTGCTGTTGTACGTGTTGGAAGTGGTCGACCAGGTCTAAGGTGAGGTCGACCTAATGTAGCATTCGCCGTCTTCTTTTTTAATGCGTGATTTCCACCGGCTAACTTGATATATTGTTGGGTGCAGAATCCAATTCGGTCGACCGCGACGTCAACCAGGTCGACCTGACGAGACAATTCTTCGTATTTGAATTTAGGCCACAACACTTGGACTTCTGTACTTGCGAGGTAACCCAATCGGTCGACCTAATGAGTTTCAAGGTCGACCGTATATGTTTTTTTGGTTATTCAACCTGAATGTCGACTTTGGCTTTGTTTGTATGACTATGTTGTGCTTGAAAAGGTCGACCGCGCCAGATATCTGGTCGACCTGTCCTTTTTTCGGTTTAATTTTGAACTTACTATTTGTTTGTAATTGTTATTTTCCTGCTGGATAGGTCGACCTAGGAATAACCGAGGTCGACCTGACGAGTTGTGGTAGTCACTATTTGTCTTACAGGTCGACCTAATACTTTGTCAGGTCGACCACGTCTTTGTTTTTTGGTCAATTATAGAAATTTGTACTTGAATTTAATTTTAATTATGATTTTAATTTTTCTTTAAATTGTTTAGACGATGACGCATGATGAGAAACTGCATCAAGATTTGGGTGAAATCATGAAATTGTTGAAAGCCACACAAGAGAAGCTGGTGGTGTGTCAAACACAAGTCGAGCATTTGTCAGTTCGACTGACAGATATGACTGGGATGATGCATGACGGGTTTGAGAGGCTAGAAGGTGCTATCAAAGATATAAGTGCAGAACGAATGGAGAATGGCGGAAGAAATGGTAAAGGAAAGAAATTTGACTTTGGTAAAGAGGAGGAAGACCATGATGACTCTGAAAATTGCTACCAGAGCATAGACGATTTATTGAAAGAGCACATTTTAAAGGTATCCAAGTATATTCATATGTGATTGAAGATATTAGTATTACTATCATTAGTGCTAATCTATTTTGTTTATATGTTTGACAGAGTGAAACAAAGAATGGCCGCAAGGGTTCCTCTCCTAATTACAAGAGACCGCGATATGAAAGTGACTCCTACACCACTCCACAGAAGGATCAATTTGTAAGAAAGGGATGATTTAGTGATGATAGCGATGAAGATGAATCTAAGAGTCCTTTCGAAAAGCACGGGGTAAGTTTACGTTACATTTTCATCTATAATGTGTGTTTGTGTTCATATGTTACTTTAATTTTAACTATGATTTGTAGGTCATGAAAGTGGAGGGTCTAGAAGGATTCACCAAAAATCTTCAAAATCCAGTTGAAGACTTGTATTATGTTGTTACTAAAGAGAAGGTTGGGGACAAGAATTGGGACAAGTAAGACGTTTTTCTAGTACGTGTGGTCGACCGGTTGTCCAATAAGGTCGACCGTGTGTCCAATAAGGTCGACCTTGACTGTGTACAGGTCGACCTGTACGTTGCAAAAAAACAATTGACATTTCTGTTATCTTGATTTTTGCAGTTTGATGATTGTGGACTTTTTTTCTGAAAACCTGCAACGACATTATTTGAGTTCGGTCATTAGCGAGAAAAGCTGGGTTTGCTCATCAGTAAGTACTATACTACTACGACTTTCGTATGAATTGTGCACTATTTATGTTACGATTTACGATGATTTTGTGTTTTATTGTTGGATGGTAGGTAGTGGATTTGTGTGCAAGGGCACTAACAATGTCTGAAAAACATGATGTGAAAGAGCCAAATGTGTGGTATTTTCCAAATATGTTTTCGGTAAGAGCCGTAATGTCAAATTATTTGTCATAACCTAGTTATTTATATTGTACCATGTCAATTCATCTCAACTAAAACATGGTGCAGAAAATGGTACGCGCTAACATGAAGACCAGACAAATTCGTAACAAGTTGATGAATGATGGCGTGGACTTTATGCCGAATGTCAGTGCATGCCAGAAGGTTAGTCTAGTCAATGTCCCTATATCATTAAATTTCGAAAGTGCATTTGTTTGTATTCGCTGTTTATAACATATAGTGAGTGTTTCGTTGCTAGATATTTATGCCAGTTCTTGAAGATGAAGCACGTCATTGGTTTCTGTATCTCGTCAATGTCCAGCAAAAAACTGCATTTTTGCTTGACAGTCTACCTTCAACTATTGAGGCGAATCGTAGGCGTAAATCAGAACTATGCAAGAAATTGGTAAGTGTTTCCTATAATTTTCTGACTACTAAGCGTTACGTAGTATGCTAGAAGTTTAAAATATTCGTTATTTGTGTGTAGTTGTCCACTTTGGATGATATTTTGAAACCAGAGCGCACGAGCAATGTAGTAGTACCAAATTTTGGAGATTTCAATTTTGATGAGCTACCAGTTCAACGACAAAGGAATAGTACTGAGTGTGGTGTGCACGTCATGCAGTGGATGCGCTATGGATCCAAGGATCTTGATAGAGTGGTGAGTATATCGTCAAACAAATAACTAGTATAATTTACACTTTTTTTAGTTGTAACGAAATCTTACATGGCATAATGCAGATAGGAGAAGAACACAAATTACCGGCTCGAAAGGAGATTCTATGGTATCTGGCTACACATTTTGAAAACCGTGCACGAGAAAATCTTTTCAAGGCAGTAGTAGATGAATGCATGGAACGAGGCAAAGAGAGACAGAGTTCCAAGAAAAAAGCAAAGAAATGAAGTCGTTAAGTTACAATGTTGCATTATTTGGACCATACATTTATTTTGTATTTGCGAGATCGTTTCATTTTGGATTTTGAATGTTTATCGTTTATTAGATTTGTTATACAATTATGTATGTGACTGAATTTACGATTTCAATCGTCTAGAACAAGTGGTCGACCACATACTCAAAGCGGGCATACCCAAAGGCAGAGCACAGGTCGACCTCGTGAAGCTTAAGGTCGACCTATGATACTGTAGGAAAGTCAAAAACCATGTAAAATAAGTATGGATACTCGTCTGTTTGGCCTTAATAAAAGTACGGTCGACCATTCTTGTCAAGAGGTCGACCTGTGCTCACATTTATAATCATTGGTCGACCATTTCTGTAAAGAGGTCGACCTGTTTCACATTTAAAAACAACGGTCGACCATTTGTGTAAAGAGGTCGACCTGTTTCACATTTACCCAAGACGGTCGACCATTTGTGCAAAGCGGTCGACCGTGATGATTCCTGTCCTTGTACAATTAGGATTTTGTGTACTTGTCCTTGTCGAATTATGATTTTATATATCTTGAACCAATTGGATAAGGAATTCGTCTAAATTATCTATAAA